TCCCCCATGAACTGGGGACTGGGGAAGAGGGGCATCCTCTTCTTAGGCAAATGCGACCGGCGGGGATGATGTAGCAGTTGCCGGCGGCGAAGGTAGAGTTGGTTAAGAAAGGGATGAAGCTGATGGAGTTGTAGGTTGAGAAGCGGCTGCGACAAATGCAATGCTGGTTGTTGGTTGCTCATCAACCAAAGACGAAAGAGACCCGGTACTCAGCCTCACGGTATCGGACACAGTGGCTGGGACTCGAAAGCGGGAGTTAGCATTTTCCACCATATCATACTCCCCCCTGAGCATCTAGGCATCGTCCTCGGTTGGTATAACTAACTCAACAGATTGAGCATTATGTTGAGCTGATAAATGTCATTGTCATCTATGTAGAGAAGCCCCCTCATCACTAGCTCCTCCATCAAGTTCGATCACCACAATTTCTGTGACCGCCTCGTGCGCAGCGCCCATCACCACAACATCCGGGGATGGCTCGGGTGCCGCATTCTTTGCTTCTTTTTATTTTTTTCCCCGATCGCGGAGGAGCGCCGTCTTTTTTGTTGCATGTTCTCCGACTGGGGACTCTAAGAAGAAGAACTTGCACCAGAAGCAATCCCGGAGATACCTGTTCGGGTAAAAGCCTCTTGCAATAGCCCCACCGTGTCAGCACGATTAGACAAAATGGTCCTCCTCGGGGACGACAACTGAGCCCTAGGGTAGACCTGAATTCAACAAGAGAAGAAGGTTAATCAGCTTTCTTATACGAAAGGTAAAAACAAGATGAGTTCAACCTACCATGATTTTTGGCCTTCTACCCACATTTAAGGGCTAGTTCTTTCCACGTACGGGTCTCGGGCGTAGTAACATCCAAAATTTTTTGGACCCACTGGTCCAAGCCTTCAACCCTCAGTGGAGTCCACCGAGTTGCTGAAATAAGTGAAAGAAGAAGAATTAGTAACAACATGGGATGATCTTTAATTAGAAAAAGAGACAAACGGTGAACTTACGAGTACAGTTCCATAATTCCGGAAAGGATGGATCCGTGGTAGGAATGATGTCCCTGGTTGCAACTACAACGAACTATTCTATCCACCCACAGTCATTGTCACCATCCATGCTGGTTGGTAGAGCATGGATGCCACGTTTGCTGAAATTTATCATTCCCCTATGGAAAATCATGAGGGAATAAAGGTTCATTAATCATGCCAGGGTTAGCTCTTCTCCCATCTCTTGGCACAGACGCTGAAGACAAGAGAAGGACTTACTTGGGCCAAGCATACCTGGTAGCAGATGCAGAACTCCACGATAACGGAGTCAAGCTCCCCGCTTAAAGAAAATGGCCCCAAAGTGATGGGATATGTATAAAAATACGTAAAACCCTTCTTGGGTAAAGTTATCCGCTCCGCCAGATCAGGAGGATGATGTTTAAGTTTTGGCAATGATAGTCTTCCTTCACAGCAGGAATGCTTGAAAGACAGATGAAGAAGGATACACGTCAACAGCCCACGTGCGGGGATTAGCAGAAGGGTACTTCTCTTCGAAGTTTTTGGTTATGATAAGGCTCCTTGGAATGATGGTGCTCACCGTTGGAGGAGCATCATCATCAGCTTTACCTTTGTGCTTTGAGGAACTAGGGTTTTTGGAAGAAGAAACCATTTTTATCAGAAGGGAGGAAAAGGTTTTCTCTGAAGAAGAAAGTTGAAGATAAACACGAGTTGAGTAAAGAGAGTTAAAGGGAGTTTGGAAAATAATGAAGTGTAAATGAAGGAGTTTGATGTGTATAAATAAAGGAATGAACAGCTAAAATCGTGGTCATAATTACCTCGATAACAGGCAAAAGTGGTGCTGAATCGTGGGATGACGCGTGTTCGGGGCTTTAAATGCGGAGAGATATGTGCCTAATCAACCGTCAAAAACTTTTCAGAGGGTGTCAGAGAATTTTCCGCCAGAAAAGGTATCTTTACCAACTTCCCGGTGACACAATGTTATGCCACCGGAAAGTAGGGGGACTATCTGTATAGGGTAAAATATGAACATATTTAATGATCGCATGAGAAAGCGACACGTGGAGCCGAAGACAGAAGACAGGCGGTCCCGAAGGCAATAATCTCGCTTGTTATCGGGGAGAATGATATTCATAAAGGCAGAATAAATGCCTGCCATCCAATAGCATTTCATGAAGATTATTCTATATCATTAAGTATACGGTCCGTTACACATAATATGTCATTCACTGCCTACCGTTACACATTCTTCAATGGCCCTCATAATTGTCATTTAAGAGAGGTTTGATCCTAGAACCTTGTTCCCTAGGTGCAACAATAAATAGTGAGCTCTACCATCATGGTAAAGGACACGAATTTTCTGACAAGCGACACTAAATTCTATCAAAAGCTCAATAACCTTTTACTTTCTTGTCTATTACATTGTTCTTATTGCCCCCGGAAGCTCTGCTCCCGGGACCTAGATATCTGCTATTTTATCTCATTTTCAAGGCTAAGTCTTACATTTTTGTCTAATATATTTATCATTTTAGGATCAAATTGATTCACTTGTCTATAAACCACGTATAAATTCAACTGTACCATTTTGTGGGTAAATATAACTTGCTCACTATGCAATAGCTCGCAAAGCACACGGGAGAAGTAAACCGCACTAGGCACGCCCATGCAACGAACTTTGACTGAGCATGCTGCTGGTGAGGGGAATCGATCTTGGTCACTCATGTGGGAAACCACTTACCCAACCAACTCAGCCAACCCTTGCGGGCCGTTATTACTTCCCCTTTTTCATGGCTTTTTTAATATCGTATTCCATTTATATTAACTCTGTTTGTGACTATATTGTCCTTGAGCCGAGGGTCTGTGGGGAACAACTTCTCTGCTTTCACAAGGTAGGAGTAAGGTCTGCATACACACTCTCTTCAACTCAATTGTTGGATTACATTGAGTTTTTTGTTGTTATTGTTGTTGTAAATATGGCTAGAAAAGAAGCAATCTTTATAAGAGTCTAATTCTTCTTAGTTAATCATAATTCATAATAGTCGTCACTTTTTATTTAGCAATTGAATTTTGAATCTCTTAGGTCTATTTGAGATTGTTCTTTTTAATCGTATTCAAAAATGCTTTCTTGTGTCCCTTATTTATGTCGTTTTTTATGCAATTCTACTCTATACTGGAAAGTGACACAAAAATTAAATGTTTTAACGCTGATTATTTTACAAATTCATCATTGCTTTTTGGAGCGAATACTGCCATATTTAATTGTGAAGCAGTGAAAGAAGAGAGCTGGTTGGAAGTAGACGTTAAAGGCACTGACAAGAGAAAAGTCGATAAGATGACACCAAAAGATAAATCAATAGAATAGCGAGTGGTTTGTGAATTTTTGGGGATGCAACTGATATAAATTCTTGTTTTGTTGACAGCTGCAACTATTTTTGACATTTGCATTTAGTGCTATCAGCAAACCAAGTTGGTGAGATATCACTTCCATCCGTAAAACTTAGTTATTAAACAATTATAAATATTTAACTATAATTATTACAGTTATAATATCAACTTGTAAAAACTCATAAACTTTAATTGTTTATCCGTCTTCGTTTGAAAGGACACATAATTTCATGTTTGACCTTTGTTCTAAGAGCGAAGACGCACAAGTTCTCAAAATGGGGCACCAGCACTTACAGAGTCTATTTAATTTGATGTTTGGTACTCAAGTGAGTAATAAATTAAATACTATCAATAAGAGTTGTGGCAGAATAACAAGTACTTATCCATCTTCAGATAAAAAATTTAGATTCAAATTTTTGGTAGAGTCATCTTTATTAAATAACGTTTTATCCCAATGTAAGATTCTTCGACGCGAATTCGAATTTAATTCGATCTCAATATGCTCAAACACTCGGTGAAGAACCAAAAAATAATAATAATAATAATAATAAAACTCAGTACTAATATTTTGTTATTAATGGAGCAGCAGTTCTATTATTCAATATAAAAAAAAAAACCAGTATTAGTAATACGAAGTTTATCTTCCCTATAATGTCCTCGAATGATCAAAATGCCTTTATATTGCGAATAATTAAAATGCAAGGTTAAAGTTGGAACATAAAAAATAACCTTACTGCGAACCTAACATGTAGGTAGTTTTAATTAATTTCAAGTCAATATTTTCAGTTTTACTACTTAGTTTAATCATTACAATAGCGTAGAAATAATTAGAATAGATAGAACCGAAAACTTACAAAGATAAATTGAATAAGGAGGAAACTAATACTTCGCTCTGATTCACTTTATGCGTTATATTTTTTAAGTTTATCTTAAATGAAATATAATATTTTTAAGTAAAAAATAAATTAATTTTAATTTTTTTATTTGACAATGTCATATGATTTGTTTAATATCACAATTAACAAAAAAAATTCTTTCTGTCCTAAACTTCGTACTTAATTAAACGCTATTAAATAAATTAATACGGAGGAAGTAACTAAATTTATTAAAGCAATCAAATACTCAATTTGCAAGTTTGTTTATATTCAGGGGAAAAAGGGACGCGGCAAAATTGACAAATAAAGCAAACTTAACCAATTTATAACGAACTGTTAATATAATTAACTCAACTAAATTTAGTAAATGCTATTAATTCGGACTCGAACGGACGAAGACTGATTAGGGTAACCATTATACAAGCCTTCAACAGAATAAATAAATGCGACTAAGACATAATTACTGTGGTATTTAACATTAAAAAAATACATCAAAGCAGAATAGTGCACCACGTGGCAGCTTATCGTGGAACCACCGGCGTTAATAATTTCAAGAAGACAAAAATGCCCCGGTAAGGGCGCTGGTACAAAGTCCCATGTTCCTAGCCCAATATTCCATTCCCATGTATGTCGGTGACTACACATTAGTATATTGTAATTTCATACAACTTCAAGGGCATTGTAGACAATTGTAAATATCAAATGTATTATTACAATTAATAGCTCTTCTATTATATTTTCACTAAAGCAAACTTTTGTTACATAGTTGGACTCTTCTTCCTGCTCAATTCTTCATTGTCCATATCTTATCACTAAGCAAACTTTTCTTCCATTGTAAATCTCAGCTGCTTTTTCCAAGCTTATATGCTTTCTTCTGCACTATTCTTGAAGCTTTACTGTAAGTTTTACTACAATTCTTTAGCTTTTTCACTACACTTTTATTGAAAATAGTCCCTAGTCCTACTTCTTTTCTTGTTTAAAGAATTGGGTATTTCTGGATTTCTGTTATTTTTTCATAGACTTAATGTGAAAAAAAATCGTCTTGTTTAGCTAATAAGTAAGGCTTTTCAAGATTCTTGTTGGGTTTGTACAGTTCTATTGTTGGGGTTCTGCTCTTTTTCAGAGATTTGTGGAAAGTTTTCAAGATTCTTGGTGGGGTTGTATTGTTCTGCTGTTGGCTTTAGGTGAGTTGGTGTCAGTATTGGCAATATGTTTACTTCTCAGATGCCAGAGAAAGGTGCAAATATTGGGTGGGTTATGAGGTCAAATAACCCCAAAGTTCAATGGTGGTTTAAGCTATTGACAATGGGTGTTTTTCTTGGAATCTTGATTGTATGGGGGATTGATGGTTTGAATGTGGGTAGTTTTCAGAGAGATTTTGTTCTGTTGAAGGTGAATAGTTCAGGAAAGTTTAGTCCTACCTTTAAAGATTTCAGCTTTACCAATATTTCTCTTAGACCCCATTCTGTTAATACTCACCAGAATCTGAACCAAGATTTTGCCAGAAAGAATCTGGCTCCTAAAGTTGAACCACAACAGATTAATTTGACTGAGAATCAAGGTAATGCCCCTGATTTCAGTCTTGAAATGGTGACAAATGTGTCACATAAGGAACCAGAATTGGTAGAGGTTTCAAGGCCGAGGGTTCATAGGTGGATTTCAGCTGAATTAGAGGCAAACTATTCATCAAATCTTCTTACTAATTGGTTGGCTCCTGGAGGTGAGCCATGTAGGGAATCAAGAACTGTGGATGTAAAGATTCCAGCTTTGGATGGTCGCAAAAACGTTGAATTGTCAACAGGGGATATTCATGAGTTTGTTTTCCATGCGTTGGATGATTCTGGGAAACCCCATTGTTTGGGTGGTGATTATTTTGAAACTGATCTTGCTGGTGAAACATGGAAGACTAGGCCTCCCATTAAAGATTTAGGCAATGGTACTTACCAGTTTTCCCTGCAAGTCCACCCTGATTTTGCTGGGGATTACAATCTTACCGTCATCCTACTATTTCGACATTATGAAGGCTTGAAGTTTTCTCCTGAAAGATTTGCATATGACAAAGTTCTCCGTGTGATCCCAGTCAAGTTCTCCAAATCCTCTGTTGAATTACCTGAAATATCTCAATGCAAGAAGTCAGATCTTGTTAGAGATGTGTGGTCTGGTCGATGGACTCGTCATGCTAAGAATAATAGCTGTCCAATTAGCAATGACGGGCGATACAGATGCCAAGAACCAAATTTCCCATGCCAAAAACCATGGTGTGATGGTCCATTAGGGTTGTTGGAGAGCAATGGTTGGGTATATTCAACACATTGTTCCTTCAAGATGTTCCCAAGTGAAGAAGCCTGGAATTGTTTGAATGATCGCTGGATTTTCTGGTGGGGCGATTCGAATCACTGTGACACAGTGAGAAACATCCTTAATTTTATTTTAGGTGTTGATATGAAGGCTGTCCCAAGAAGAGTTGATATGAACATCAGCAACCCGAGGAATCCATCACAAACAGTTCGATTTACCAACATTTTCAATGGACATCCTAATGAGACAGGCAATTATCAAGGCTTGAATTCGTTGGCGGATGCTGACTATAGAGAACTTTTGAAAGGGTACTTTTCTGGAAATATTGTTCCAGACACTATAATCATGAATTCTGGCTTACACGATGGAGTCTTTTGGTCTAGCCTTAGGCATTTCATTAAAGGCGCCGACTATGCTGCATCATTCTGGGCTGAGGTTTTTGCTGGGATGAGGCAGAGAGGGTTGACACCACCAGAAGTCATATATAGGACCACTGTCACCACAGGCGGATACGCTAGAAGATTGGCATTCAATCCAAATAAAATGGAGGCCTTCAATGGGGTAGTCCTGGATAAGTTGAGGGCATATGGTTTAGTTGATCGCGTCATTGATGATTTCGACATGACTTATCCTTGGCACTATGATAACCGATGCAATGACGGGGTGCATTATGGCCGTGCTCCTGCCAAACTGAAATGGAGGGATGGCCAGATTGGACACCAGTACTTTGTGGATCTTATGCTTGGTCATGTACTGCTCAATGCATTATGTACAAGATAGAAGTTTGGCAGATTGTGATGTCAAGGGTTGCATTGGATGGCAATTACCAATCTGAATTTCAAGCTTTTGGATCTATCTGTATTTTACTGTTATTATGTTTTCTGAAGCTTCTTCCACGTTGTAGGTCATATACAAGGTGTAGTGCGAACACTAAAGGTTGTATAGGAGAATATCTGAAGAATAGTGTCTGTGTATTATTCATTTTTGAGCTTCTTGTAGTCCCATTTGCTTGGACTACTGTAGATTGAAATAATTACTAGTATTACAATTTTACCTCATTTATTACATTTACTCATTCTTTATGCATTTTTGGACAAATAATTCACATTTAGAGATACGTGTATTCAGGTTTGGTGTTGGCTTTTGGTTCTATGAAATTACAAATTAATTCAATCTACATTGGGCTTTTGGTTCTTAAAATAAGCTCGATTTGGTTCCATTCTTTTTTAGAATTTGGTTTTAGAATTAATTGGCTTGGTTATTTCGCATTTTTAGTTAAAACCTATAAGTGGGGTTCTTCCTCTTATAAAATGAACATCCAAATAATTTTACTTAAATGGTTTCAAATAAATAACTTAGTACAACAATGTATTGTAACATCCACATCGTGTCCATGTTTTTTATTTTTTTATTTTTTATGTAAGGGTATGGCATGCAATTTCTATGTAATGCAAAATGAAATGTCTCAATTTTACCGGAATGTTGAATTATGATCTAACTTTGAGACAAAAGTTGTCATTCTACAGAAAGATTAGCAAAGATACTTGTAAAAGATCAGCATACGGTATAATGAAAATGGCCCAAAGTCGAGATTCATAACCATAAGAAAGAAGGCAAAACAAGCTCTCATGATGTATCCCCTAAACCACCATTCAAAGTGGGCTCTTGAGCATGGACTGTTTCTGGAATAGGGCTATATTTGCTCCTTTACTTTGGAAAATAATTTAAATATACTCTTTCTTTGGGTTTTCGATTATGACTAATCATGTCTTGACCAATAGTTTGTTTGGCCAAGCTGCAAAAATCAGCTTATTTTAAAAAGTGTTTTTTCTTAAGTGCTTTTTACAAAAGTACTTTTGGTGAAAAACAATTTGTGTTTGGCTAATCTATTTTGAAAAACACTTCTAAGCAGCAATTAGTGTTTGACCAAGTTTTTAAAAACTGCTTCTAAGTATATTTTTCTCATAAGTGTTTTTAAAAAAAGTGCTTTTGTAGAGAAGCTACTTTTTTCTGCTTCTCCAAAACTGCTTCTGCTTCTACTCAAGAAGGCACTTTTTCTCCCTCTAAAAGCATGGCCAAACACTTTAAATTTTGGAAAAAATGCTGGCTTGGAGAAGCTTGGCCAAACAGGCTACAAATATGCCCCTAAACCTAACAGAAGGAATACGTGGAGGGCCAAATTTCACATATACGTACTTTTGAGGCCATCATTGCACACAAAAATTGTAAAGTATACCCGCTCGGATCTTAAGTAGTTCAATCTCTTCAATGTAACGTTAGAAATTAAATCCTAAATTCTTCTATTTTTCAGATGCAACTTTAGAAATTCGAATCCTAAGTAGTTCAATCTTTTCAATGCAACTTTAGATTTTAAATATAAAGTTCTTTTATCTTTCAAATGTAACTTCAGAAATTCGAATGTTATGTAGTTCAACCTGTTCAATGCAATTTTAGATTTTGAATCTAACATAAACTTGTTCTTCAAATTTCAACAATCCAACAGACGATTCAACGTCCAAATCTACTCAATGAAGCTCAAATTTGAAACATAACTTTCAAATATCATAAAGAACATTATCTCAATCATCAAATTGTCAAAACAACAACAAATTTAACAAACCCATTTTACAACTAAGAAGAAGAAACCCAAAGTACAAAGAAGAAAAAAGCAGCAATGAAGAAGAAGAGAAAAATCTACGTCTCTAAAGTTACCAAATTGGGTATCAGTTAAACTTTTTTTAAAAAGTGAAAACACATTCAACAGGTGGCACAAAACTGGATATCACCTGAAAATTTTACAATAAAAATACACAATTCATTTGACAAACCCAATCCTTTGGGTTTAATAGCTGATCATCATATTCAAATCTTTTGGGAGGAGGATATGATGATCATTTTTTATACTAACTTTGTGTTTTTTTTTTGCAGAGAAGTTTACTGTATCCATGTCCTACTATAAGCTACAAATTCAAAGGGTGGTATAAGCATTTGATGCTCAGTCCCTTGAAGGAGTACTAATAGTAGGCATAAGCATTGAAGCATGGAGAAGTCTGCCCAAAAATTTGGACGACTTGGGATTTTGGCAATCGAATAAGGGAACAATAGATGCATTCTGTAGCAAAGCAACAGTACACCTTATTAGTTCTATAATAATAGGCTAAATCTAGGTGATTTAGCTATTGTTTATGCTTTCGTTTGATTATATTCCAATGTCATAATATGGTTAATTGATGAAAAATAGGCTCTAATTGTGAATTGTATACATTGCAGGATGAGGAGCTTATGTGATGCTTTCAAGAGGCTATTGGAATGATTTATGAGCAAGAACAACCCCTCGGAGCTGAGTGCGCGCAAGGACAAGACAAAGAAATGGAAGAAATGATGGCCCAGGTGCGCGAGCAGACGCGCGAACTCATGCGCGAGCTCGCGCGTGTTAGGGGGCTGAGGCAGAATGTTAGAGAAAACGCGCGAAGTTATGCGCGAAGTAGTGCGCGAGCTCGCGCGTTTCCCAGTCCGGAAAAGAATTCTTTAGGGGCAAAATTGGAAATCTGGAGAGAAACCCACTTAACCTATATAAACTCAAGCTCGCCCAAGGTTAATTGAAAAAGTTTTTCATAGGCTAGTGCAAGGTATCAAGAGGCAAGAGGCAAGGAGGAGATTTGACCATCAAGTTCTTGTTTTCTTCTCTTTGTTTTAGCTATTTGTGATGAAATTGAACCCTATTGTGTTAAACATTAGTATGAGTAGCTAAAACCCATTATTCTGGGGTCATGGGTGAAACATGAAAGTTGTTGTTTGACGTTTAATTCGACGAAGTTGGTTTGTCATATTGGATTGTTTATTTAATTCTGATTTTAATTATTTTGCTGAGTAGCTAACAGTGAAATACTATCTACGAATCTAGAGTTGAACTCGAAAGTGGGAACTTTAGATTGCATATAGAATTAAATAGAGCAGGTTCTTGAACCCGGGCCTCGGGGAACGGATTCGCAATTGGGATAGACATATACCCAATTGCCCTGCTTGGTTGGAATACAGGAATTGTAAATGCGTTCTTGTTAATCTTAATTCCATAGACATATAGGCATTGAGTTAGCTTGAATAGGCGAGTAAGAACTCGACAGATTCTTATGAGTAATATAAACCCTGTCAATCAACAATCCAGATAAATCAATTAGTCGTTTTAAGCCAAGAACACAACACGATTGTTAACTAGCCTGTGACCCTGGAATATCCTCTCCTACTGTTTGTTACGTGAACTTGCTACTCGTTTGGTTAATTGCTCTAGTTAGATTATTTCTTGATAGTTAGGTAGTAAAACAATTACATCTCGATTTTGTGAAAAACCTCTTGGATAAATAAAGTAATTGAGTTGAATCAGTCAACAGTTAATCATAAGTCTTCGTGGGAACGATACTCTACTCACTACTCTATTACTTGACGATCACGTGCACTTGCGTGAGTGTTTTGGTCGCAACAAGTTTTTGGCGCCGTTGCCGGGGACTTAGAAATTAGCTACTTGACTGAATTGAGCTTTTATTATTTATTTATTCGAGTTTTAACTTTCAGTTCACTTTGTTTGTGCTAATACAGGATTTTCTATTGAATGCGAAGAAGTAGAAGCGCAAACAATCTCCTTCCTCTCGATCCCGAAATTGAACGAACACTTCACAGATTGAGGAGGGAGGTGGACGCCAGAACCAGAATTGAAAGAGAGTTGGACATCGTAGTTCAACCACAGCCAATTGAGATGGCAGGTAATGAGGAACGCGCGGTGATTGAAGCCGCAAGGCCCAGTCTGGCTAATATGACTCAGGCTATCGTGAAGCCTGATATCACTGGGCACTTTGAGCTGAAACAATACATGGTGCAGCTGATCCAGTCCACAGGGCAATTTGTGGGCCTACCTCATGAAGACCCGCAGAGGCATATTCAGAATTTTCTGGAAATTACGGATACTTACAACTATCCGAACGTTTCCAAGGACTATGTCAGGCTGACACTTTTCCCCTTTTCTCTGCTCGGGGAAGCTAAGGAGTGGTTGAATAAGGAGCCAGCTAATTCAATCCGCACTTGGGATGATCTGGCAAGGAAATTCTTAATCAAGTTTTTCCCCACCAAGAAAACAAAGATGTTGAGGAGTCAAATTCTTGGGTTCGAACAACGAGCTGGCGAGACACTTCGTCAAGCATGGGAAAGGTACAAGAAGTTGCTCAGAGACTGTCCTCACCATTGCCAGACGGACGAGGTATTGGGTCACACTTTTGTAGATGGGCTAGATGATGCTTCAAAGATGAATCTAGATTCAGCTTGTGGGGGTAGCTGCATGGCCAAACCGTACAGTGAAATCCAACTCTTGCTGAATACCTTCACTGCTAATGATAATAACTGGCAAGGTGATGGTGACTCTCGAAAGGCAGTTAAGCAAAAATCAGCTGGGTTACTTGAGCTCGATGAGGTGTCAGCAATGAGAGCCGAAATTGCAAAGCTGGCCAATCAGATGACTAGGATAACAATGCAGCAGCCACAACCAATGCAATAGGTACAACAAATGACTATTTGCTGCGAACTGTGTGGTGACAGTCATATGAGTGATATGTTCCCCACGAATCCAGAATCCATCGATTATGTGGGGCAACAAAACAGGGGCCCACCGAACCAGCATGCACAATACGGGAATTCTTACAATCCAAATTGGAGGAATCATCCCAACTTCTCATGGGGTGGAAATTAGCAGAATCAGAATCAGTATAGACCCCAAGGGGGTTTCAATCAGCCTCAGAGACCACCCCAACAAATGGAAGAGAGCACAAATGATTTACTAAAGAAGTTGTTGATTGACAATCAGCAGCTCAGGACCGACTTCACAAATCTTAAGAGGCAGATGGGGCAGTTAGCAACGAATCAAAACACTAGACCTGCAGGCGCTCTCCCCAGTGATACAGAAAAGAATCTGCAAGTGAATGCAGTTACACTGAGAAACGGGAGGGAGCTTGAGGAAGTGCCAAAGAAAAGGAAAGATAAGCCTGTACCTGAAGGGGAGTTGATCCCTAAAGTGACAAACGAGCCAAAGAAGACTGCTGAAATTCTAGAGCCAGTGGAGGCCTCAAGGCCACCACCACCTTTTCCCTAGAGATTGCAGAAAAAGAATGATGATCGCATGTTCAGCAAATTTCTCTCCATGTTGAGCCAGGTTCAATTGAATATCCCACTTCTTGATGTGCTTCCTGAAATTCCAAAGTATGCTAAGTACATAAAAGATATAGTGGATCACAAGAGAAGATTAACTGAATTTGAGAAAGTTGCACTTACTGAGGAGTGCACTTCTAGGCTCCAAAATAAGCTCCCTCAAAAGCTTAAGGATCCTGGCAGCTTTACGATTCCTGTGCGCATTGGTAATATTGATGTGGGTTGTGCTCTTTGCGACTTGGGGGCGAGCATTAATCTGATGCCCCTATCTTTGTTCAAGAAATTGGGCTTGGGAGCTCCAAGGCCAACTACTGTGATGTTGCAGCTGGCTGATAGGTCGATAGTGCACCCCGAGGGGGTGATTGAAGATGTGTTGCAACAAATTGGGAAATTTATCTTCCCTGCTGATTTCATTATCCTCGATTATGAGGCTGATGAACTGGTCCCAATCATATTGGGGCGACCTCTCTTGGCTACTGGTGACGCAATTATCAAAGTGAGAGAGGGAAAGATGATCTTGAGGGTAGATGACGAGGAAGCAGTTTTCAATGTCTACAAAGCAATCCTACTTCGCCGTCACTATGATGAGCTCTCCATGATATCTGTTGTTGAGGTTGATGAGCAAATTCGTGATCCAAGTGTATATCTAGATGATTCTCTAGAGACAGCACTTATGTTGTTTGATAGACTGGGGAATGATGAGGAGGTCGAGGAGATGATGCACATCCTTGATACATCTTGTGCATACATGCAGGGGATACACCCCTTTGAACCTTTGAACAGGCCAGAGGGACCTCCTCCAAAACCGTCAATTGAGGAAGCCCCGAAATTGGAGCTTAAACCTCTCCCATCTCACCTGTAATATGCTTATTTGGGAGACTCTGACACTTTACCTGTTATTGTTTCCTCTGACTTGTCTAAATTGCAGGAAGAAAAGCTGTTGAGAGTGCTACGTGAGCACAAGCGAGCAATTGGGTGGACTATGTCTGACATAAAGGGCATTAGTCCAGCCTTTTGCATGCACAAAATCCTCATGGAGGACGGACACAAGCCCAGTGTAGAGCAACAACGACGACTCAATCCAATCATGAAAGAGGTGGTAAGAAAAGAAGTGATTAAGTGGCTTGATGCAGGTATTGTATTTCCTATCTCAAACAGCAAATGGGTAAGCCCCGTCCAATGTGTACCCAAGAAAGGGGGGATGACTGTAGTAGTTAATGAGAATAATGATTTAATCCCTACAAGAACTGTCACCGGGTGGAGAATTTGCATTGACTATAGAAAATTGAAAAATGCCACCCGTAAGGACCACTTTCCCCTTCCCTTTATTGACCAAATGCTTGATAGATTGGCTGGCCAGGAGTACTACTGCTTCTTGGATGGTTACTCTGGGTATAATCAGATTTCTATAGCCCCAGAGGACCAAGAGAAGACCACTTTTATGTGTCCTTATGGCACGTATGCGTTCAAGAGAATGCCCTTTGGTCTTTGTAATGCACCTGCGACTTTTCAAAGGTGTATGATGGCCATTTTTACTGACATGGTCGAGAGGTTTGTGGAAGTATTCATGGATGATTTTTCTGTGTTTGGATGTTCTTTTGATAACTGCTTGATGAATCTTGATAAAGTGCTTGCTAGGTGTGCAGAGACTAACTTGGTGCTAAACTGGGAAAAGTGCCATTTCATGGTACGCGAAGGTATAGTTTTGGGGCACAAGGTGTCCAAAGATGGTTTGTAGGTGGACAAGGCAAAGGTGGAAGCGATTGAAAAATTGCCTCCACCGATATCTGTCAAAGGCATTCGCAGTTTCTTGGGCCATGCAGGTTTTTATCGTCGTTTCATTAAAGATTTCTCGAAAATTTCCTCTCCCTTGTGCAGGTTGCTGGAGAAGGATGTCACCTTTAAATTTGATGATGCCTGTCTGAAGGCATTCGAGGAGCTTAAGGGGAGGTTGGTGACTGCACCAATCATCATTGCACCGGATTAGGAGCAACCATTTGAGTTGATGTGCGACGTGAGTGACTTGGCTATTGGAGCTGTTTTGGGGAAAAGGAGAAACAAAGTCTTCTACTCCATCTACTATGCAAGCAAAACTTTGAATCCAACTTAGATGAACTACACAGTCACTGAAAAAGAGTTGCTTGCAGTGGTGTAGGCGTTTGACAAGTTCAGGTCATATCTTGTGGGGACCAAAGTCATCGTCTACACAGATCATTCAGCTATCAGATACCTGTTTGAGAAGAAGGACCCCAAGCCGAGACTGATTCAGTGGGTCCTACTCCTGCAAGAGTTTGATTTAGAGATCCGAGATCGCAAAGGAACAGAGAATCAAGTGGCTGATCACTTGTCCAGATTAGAAAATCGGAATCATTTAGCTGAAAGGGGTGTAATCAAAGAAACATTCCCTGATGAGCAGTTATTGGTTATTGCCTCAAGCACAGCCTCGTGGTATGCAGACTATGTGAATTTTATTGCAAGTGGGGTGACACCACCAGAGTTGACACCAGATAATAGACGAAGGTTCCTGCATGATGTGAGGCTTTACATGTGGGATGAGCCATTCTTATACAGGCTCCGTGCAGATCAGTTGGTGCGGAGATGTGTTCCTGAGGTGGAAATGAGTGCCATACTTCATAGCTGTCACGCCTCACCATATGGAGGTCATCATGGGGGAGACTGGACCGCCCACAAAGTGTTACAATCAGGTTTCTATTGGCCAAAATTATTTAGGGATGCACACGCCTTTGTTAAAATATGTGACAGGTGCCAAAGAACCGGAACGATCACAAAGAGGCACGAGATGCCGCTGCAAAACATTCTGGTAGTGGAGCTCTTTGATGTGTGGGGAATAGATTTCATGGGACCGTTTCCACAATCTAATGGTCATAGGTACATCTTGGTGGCAGTCGACTATGTTTCCAAGTGGGTGGAGGCTATTGCTCTTCCCACTAATGATGCAAAGGTGGTGGTGAGCTTTGTCAAGAAGCACATATTTACACGCTTTGGAACTCCAAGAGTATTGATCAGCGATGGAGGAACGCATTTCTGCAACAAATTGCTGAATAATGTCCTTGCAAAGTATGGAGTCAAGCACAAGGTGTCCACTGCCTATCACCCCCAGACGAGTGGTCAAGTGGAGGTGTCAAACAGAGAGGTAAAGCAGATTCTTGAGAAAACACTGAGTGCAAATAGAAAAGACTGGGCCGGGAAATTAGATGACGCATTGTGGGCATATCGAACTGCGTACAAAACTCCCATAGGTGCTTCTCCGTATAAATTAGTTTATGGGAAGGCGTGTCACTTGCCCGTCGAGCTTGAACACAAAGCCTATTGGGCAATTAAAAAGCTGAATATGGATGGGGACTTAGCTGGAAAGAAGAGGTTGCTGCAACTCGATGAGCTTGATGAGTTTCGATTGCACGCGTATGAGAATGCCAAATTGTATAAAGAGAAGACTAAGAGGTGGCATGACAAGCACATTCAACATCGAGAGTTCGAGCCAGGGCAAGAAGTTCTTTTGTTCAATTCGAGGTTGAAGCTTTTCCCCGGAAAGCTTAAATCTCGTTGGTCAGGCCTTTTTGTTGTGGTAAGTGTGAAGCCTCATGGAGCTATGGAATTGCGAGATATGAGTTCAACTGGTACCTTCTTGGTGAATGGTCAAAGGATAAAACATTACTGGGGTGGTGACTTTGCACGTCACAAGACCTCGGTGGACTTGACGGATGCTTGAGAACGAGTTGAGTCATGCCGCGACGTTAAATCAGGCGCTGGATGGGAGGCAACCCATTGAATTGTTGTAACCGTTGTGCCACGACGTTAAATAAGGCGCTGGATGGGAGGCAACCCATTGAATTGTTGTAACCGTCGTGCCACGACTTTAAATAAGGCGCTGGCTGGGAGGCAACCCAACGATAGTAGTAGTGTTTGATTTTATGTTTTAGCACACTAACTAATGCATGTAACGAAGGGCAGGTGAAAAGACCATCGACCGAGAGCAATACAGGTGAAAAAGTACAAAAAATGAATGCCCAGACGTGCGAGTTCGCGCATATGTTCGCGCATCTGGGCAAACATTCTGCCTGGGAGCGCGAAGGACGCACGAGTTCGTGCATTTGTTCGCGAAAAATTCTGCCTGGGACGCGCGAAGGACGCGCGAGTTCGCGCGAGCCCGTCGAATTTCCGGCGTTTTTGTGTGTTTTGTTTTCTTTTAGTTTTTATTTCTTATTTCTTTATCTTATTTGGTTAACTTATAGACTAAAATCACCCCACCCCTTCTCATAACCCACGATCCCCCCCTCTTATCTCCTTCTCCCATTTACACAAAACAAAATCAAACCAAAAACCCCTCATCTCTCCCATCCCTCATCCAAGGCAAAACCCTTTCTCCAAACGACCCCAACCCTTCAAGTTCACTAGCAGCTTCCCCATTCTCCTTCACCACAGGTATGAGCCCTAGGTTCTTTCTTCTCTTTTTCTTTCTTTATTTTTCAGATTTGTTTGTTGTATTCTTATGCTATATTGTAGGAGTTGTACTTAGATGTTGTGTAGAAATTGGTGCAATGTGTTGTGGGGTTGGTTTGTGGTAAGTATGGGGTGGGGGGTACTTCATTGGTGCTATTGTATGAGATTTTGTGGGGGATTCTTGTTCTAAAAAGCTTCAAAGGTGTTGTGAGGGCCTAATGCCCACCAGGTGTTTGTGGAAAAGTCCCAATGAGCATGATTAGGTAGTTGTGACCAATTTTGCGTGTGAAGTCTGAGTAACCGCATTAAGTCACAATATTTTTGTTGGGCTGGGCTGATGAGTTCCCGTTTTGCAGGTATCATGGCACCACCGCGAAAGCGCCAAGCCACTGGCCCATCATCAAGCCGCCAAGCTGGCACATCTAGGACACAAAGGGCAGCACCTGCACGCCCCTATGACAGCAGCAAATTTGTTTCAGCTGCGGCTCAGACCCGCTTTACGGAGAAAGCCGCTAGAAAGCCCATTCCGGAGAGGGGCATTGACATCCATTCAGTCAAGGAGCGCTGCCTTCACATGTATTCGGAGTTGATGGCGCGGGGTTTGCAGGCCTTCATTTATGAGCCAGGGGAGGCTAATGTAATGGTTGTGCGCGAATTCTATGCTAATCTGCCAGAGCATATAGACAATGTGGTCACGGTGCGCCGCAAGGCGGTAGATGCATCCATTGAGGCAATACGCACAGTATATCAGTTGCCCGATCCTCTACCTGATAATACGGACTTTTATGTGTATGGCAAACATCCAACAGACCCCAAGTGGGAGCGTTTCTTTGATGAAATTTGCACACCGGGAGAAATGGTGGAGTGGCTAGAACACGGTGAGAAGTTCCACTCCTCCGTCTTAACTCTAGAGGCGAAGAGCTGGTTATATGTGATTAACAGTCGCCTTATTCCCTCCAAAAATACTATGGAGGTGAATGGACCCCGAGTTGCATTGATTTGGTGTTTCGTCAAGGGTCTTCCTTTTGATATGGCCAAGGTGATCCACGACGAAATGTTTATCCGGAGCTCTCAACTCAGGTATGGGTTCTTTTTCCCCTCTTTGGTGACTAAGCTTTGCAGGCAAGCGCAGGTGCCCGAAAATCTTCGTGTGGATGGGCTGGTAAAAAAAAGCCACAAGATCCGATCGGAAAAGAGCACCATGGTGCCAACCCCAGGAGCAGCAGCAGGTGGAGCGGCTGAGAGTGGCTCTGATGCATCGGAGGACGAGGAGGATGAACAAATGAACGTGGAGGGCGGAACGCAGGCCCATGCGCCCAGCGCAACAGTTGCAGCACCGTCAGGAGCAGCGTCCTTTTCAGGAACTGCCAGGGTGTCCCGGTTCACAGCATTGGAGCAGGA